AGCAGAAAAATCTGAAGTGGGATGTGAGACCAGCATGTCTCCTGCTTCTTTTTAAAGAAGATTCTGTTGCTATGGCAATCATCTCTTCCACAAGCTCATTTTATTAAAGCAAGTCCTAGAATGGAGGACTGAATTCAGCTGTTACACAAAGTAGCAATTATTCTCAACAATTGGGGAACTCTATGGCCTGGACCTGAGCCACAGCGCCTTTCTCATGAAACTAGCAGGTCAATTTTTCCAAGACCCTTGACATTCTGTGTTGTGAGGCACAGAAGGATGTATTCTTTAAATAGTTTTTTTTGCATACTGTGGTATTTGGAAATATGTAAACATTCACTTTCCTTATTTATTCATCCTGACACTGAGAAGCTAGTGTCTAGTTCCCAGGCTCCAAGCCAGAGGAGGCTTGTGTTCACAAACCTGGTGATACCGTACCAACTTGCTGGCGCAAGGGTAAAGATTGTTCCTGACCCACTCTCCCCCACGCTTTCTGATCAATGGTATGCTATCGATGCCATTATTACTTGCTTGTCACCATAGCAGAGACTACCATTGTAAAACATTAATTCATTAAGCAAAGATAAAAAACATAATAGCTACATTGGGCCAGACTGAGTCTCCATCTAGCTCAAGTATACCATCTTCAGCAGTGGCTGTGAGTGAACGCTAAGGTAGAACAAGTGTGTATTTCCCAGTCCCTGTACTGTTTCTGAATCTATTTTCAGACTAGGGACTTCTTGAGCTGAGTATGTTTTCTGTGTGTTTAATACCTCTCAGTGGATTGCTTTTCCCTGAACTTCCCAGTCTCTTGAGCTCATGTGAACTTTTAGCAGCTAGAGTATCCTTTGTCCAGCAGTTCACAGCTTACAGACTTACAGTGAGAAGAATCATAGAATGGTTTGGGTTGGAAGGGACCTTAAAGATCACCCAGTTCCAATGCCCCTGCCATGGGCGGGGACACCCTCCACTGGACCAGGTTGCCCAAAGCCCCATCACCAGGTTCCCCAAAGCCCCATCCAACTGGGCCTTGAACACTTCCAGGGAGGGGGCATCCACAACCTCTCTGGGCAACCTGTTCCCTCACAATAAAAAATTTTCTTCCTTAGATCTAATCTAAATCTATCTTCCTTCAGCTTCAGGCCATTCCCCTTGTCCAGTCACTCCATGCCCTTGTAAACAGTCCCTCTCCAGCTTTCTTGCAGGCCCCTTTAGGTACTGGAAGGCTCCTCTAAGGTCTCCTTGGAGCCTTCTCTTCTCCAGGCTAAACAACCCCAACTCTCTCAGCCTGTCTTCACAGGAGAGGTGCTCCAGCCCTCTGATCATCCCTGTGGCCCTCCTCTGGACTTGCTCCAACAGCTCCATGTCTTCCTTGTACTGGGGACCCCAGAGCTGGACACAGTACTCCAGGTTGGAGTACTCACAAGAGCGGAGTAGAGGGGGAGGAGGAGAAATACCATCTGTTTTCTTTGGATCCTACTACTTCATACAGTCCTCCCCCTCCCTAGTTTGTCTTCTGGAAGAAATAGCGAGCCATCAAACCCTACCTACCCTTTCCACATTTCTCATGATTTTGTAGGCCTCTTACCGCATTGTCCTTCAGTCATCTCTTTTTCCAGACAGAAGAGCCTGGTGTACTCAGTTGTTCCTCAGACAGAATACACTCTATGCCTTTTGGATCATTCCTGCAATTCTCGCAAACATTTCCAAGTCCGCTAAGGCTTTTGTGCATGGGAATAGAATACGTTCTGTAGAAAAACACATTTAAATAACCTGTTTCTAAATGATAGCAGGGTCTTAACTGACCATGGTCTACCATCTTAGTCTTCACAACTGTCTTTTCTATGAAAGGGATTGAGTTGTTGCACATACCTTACAACTGGAAAATTAATGGGATATCTAAGCTCCTTAGTCCAAAGTCCAAGGTGATTTGCAAATATTGGTAATAGCTTCCATGTGTTAGGTGTTCTTTGGTGGTAAGGATGAGAAATCATTTGAGCTCATTTCTGTGCAACTCTGAGTTTCATGGAAACATATATATGCTTAAATGTTAGATATGTATTTTGTTAGTGAGAACGTGTAGATTTCTATGTGGCTGGATGGGATCAGGATACGGGGTGTGTATGGGAAGCTTGAGAATTGTGAGGAAAGAGTATGGAGCCACAGTCTAGGCTGAACAAATGCTTCAAATGGTGGTGGTGGGGGGGTTGTTTTGTTTTGGTTGGGTTTTTTTCCCCTCAGAAATGTATTTTTTGCTGAAAGGTTGAGATCACTTGGCTAAGTCTTCAGCTTGTACTAGTAACATTCTTGCTTCACCTATGTCAACGACTAGTTTTGTAGCCTTAAGCAGTTCATTTGTTTCTGTGTCTCTCTTAGTCCTTCTGTAATGTTGGATTATTACCTGGCTGCCTTTCTTGCTTGGATGTTGTGACTAGTTGATACTTAGATGATTTGTTGAAGTTGTAATTGTTATAAATGCCATTTTTTATCAACTGGTTCATACCATGACAAATCCCTATGCAGGTAGTATTCAGTCTCCAGCATTATTTTCAGTCTTTCAAAGATAACTGTTCCAGTTAATAAGTATCAGAAATTCTTTTCATTGCACATTCCTTGGATACCAAAGCAGCTAATTCAAGAGTGCAAACAAATGGTTATTTATTTTAAGTTTGGAAACAGTGTTTGTACAAGTGCACGTGCATTTTCAACATTCTTTTTAATTTTTAAAACAGGACATTTTTTGCTATTTATAATGAATACGGAATCTCTGTTTAATTTATTGGCAAAATTTATACTGATCTCACCAGATCAGGATCTGCTCTGTGAATTTAGTTCTTAAGGGACAGAAACTAACTTAGGAAACCCTGTTCCACTTTGTGTCTTAATTTCCTGCCTCTTAATGGGAATGATGAAACAGACTTAGCTTACAGCATGTTATAAAGATAGGTCTATCCATGTTTGAAATATGCAGTGCCAGCTACAGATGGAAGACAGAGAGGAGGCTCAACTTGAGGCCGTCTACCCCATGCCTGTGTCCTGGGGAAATGGTAGCCCAGCAAGGCTGGCACTGGCCTTGCCAAACTGCCAGGTTTCCTGCTGCCACGCCCTGGGCTGATGCTACTGCGGGCGAGCTTGCAGGCCATCAGGTTTCCTCGCACGGGATGGCGGCAGGCTGCTTACAAAGCTGTCAGGTTGTGAGGCAGGTGGGACAAGGGTGCTGCTGTTTCAGAGGTGTAGGCAACTGAGAAGGCAAAGGTATTGTGGTCAATGCCTGACCGAGCCGAAGGGTACACCTGTCTGCCGGTCCTGTTACAGTGCTCCCCAGGGAAAGGAAGAGTCAGTTTAAAGGAAAGTTAGCACAGAACGCATTTTTTCCTATTTAGGAATGAAGTGAACTTGCTTGTTTAAACAGATTTTTATGCAGATACTGTATGCGATTCTGTAGAGTTCAGTGGAGCCTTTGATTTTTCTTAGAGTAGGCAATAAATCCGTGGTCTTTGTTTATACTTTTTTCATCTAGGGATGCATTTGCTACTATGTAAGTACAATACTTACAGGTTGTCAGTGGTTTTTTTGCTATCAGAGAAAAAAAATCCTTTGTCATATATAAAATAAATAATATCCACAATAAAGAGACAAAGGATCTTTGCATTTAATTTCTTTCTTTCTGTGTAATATTTTAAGATAGTGTCAATATAGCTTTGCTGCGCTACAGTCTGTTACAGAAATTGCTATGGGGTAAAACTGGACTTGCAGAAATAAATTTTCTGTGCCTTCAGATATCTGACATCTTACTTGTAAGTAAGAAAAAGATTTTTGAACAGGAAATGTTTTGCAGTAGGCCAGTATAATTCACTTTCAGCAAAACAGTTATGGTTTGGTTTTGGGGGTTTTTTTTCACTTCCAAGTAAAGCAGAAGGTAATCTTAAGTGCCAAATACATGTTGGGGTGTGTAAATTCCTTCAGAACAGTAATCCCTTGCACACCGTGGTTCTTACTGACCGTACCAGATGTACTTAATGTTTTGTGGCATAATCCACCTTCTAATATTTTGAGTAAAGGGAAACTACTCTCAAGCCTTGCTGGTAAAGTTCAGCGTACATTTCGGGTATCTTCAGGGTTGTTTTTCTTAGCTGATATTTTGGACACAGTTTCAAAACCTTGTTGAGGAGTTCCATAAATGGGACATGTATGTCAAATTATGCACAAGTGCTAAAATAATCCAATCTATGAAGGTAAATATTCTGTCCTCCCCACCTGTCTTGGCAAGTTTCCACAAAGAGAAATCTTACAAAATTCTCAATGCATCAAAAAATTGTGAGTGCCCCTACTGTCTGTTGAAATTCTGTGGCCTTTTGGGGGCTCTTTTTGTGATGTATCACTGGGCGAGTTCAGGATCCTTTAGCTGTTCTTTTCCAGTCATTTTCACAATTGGTTTCATCTTTCATGAAAAGGTTTATTTTATGGCTATAGTCATAAGTTTGAATTTCAGTAGCACATGAATTGTTTGAAAGGGCTGAGTATAAAAGCTTTTTAATTGTCAACTTTTAAATGACTTGATAACTACATAACTTGATTGTTTCACTTACATAGTTTGCCAGCAGTCTTGGAGATAGATTCATAAAAAATAAGCAAGTAAGTTTGGATAGTGTGACTCCAGGTAAGTAAGTGTTTTGTGGTAATTGTGTAGTATTCATTAACAAAAATTAGGGCAGCAAACTTTGGTGTTTTAAAATAAATTGGATAAAGGTGGATTCAGAAATTTATTTAGTCACTATTCTAACATTTGCTAATGGTGGAAATTATGTAGAAAAACTATTTGAAGTTAGAAGCCTAGTTATTATAGTCACTTAAAATAAAATTGCCATATTATGCAAAATAACTCTTTATATTCATGAAGTCAGTATTTCCAAATAGAGTTTTAAGGCTTTGCATTTTGCTGAAGTAAAATCCAGATTTCAAGAGTCTTTCCCCTCTCACTGCATTATCTTCTCTCATTTCAGCATGCATACACAACTACAGCCATACATGGGACAAATTTTTGTACATCAGCAAAGGATGCTGTCTTTATTTTGGCAAAGAATTCTGCTAAACTTGCATCCATTAGCTGTTTTGGAGATTTTATACTATTTCTAGGAAAGGTAAGAGTAAGAAAAGTACTCTTCTGTAAGAATTAAGTGAAAAGTCAGGATTTCATTCTCTTTTCTTACACCTAAAGTACATAAGGTTTATCTTCGTTAAACTCAGTGTTAATGCTGTAAAATGAGTTCAGGAAAGAAGAAAATGTTTGAGAAATTTAATCCTTTTCATAGTCTTTACAGAGTTATTTAGTTGTATTACAGTAGTGTCCTTGGCACCGCTCTTACAGTTGCCATTGCAATGAGTCTTTGGTAAATACATAGTAAAAGATTGCCTCTGCCCTACAGAATTTACACACTGGATTGAACACAAAGTGTGACAACTGTGTGATGCCAGAAACTGCATAGCTGTCTCCCAGATGAGATGTGCTGTTAAAATATTGGCTGTAATTTTTTTGTGTTAGGGTTTGGGGGATTTTGGTTTTTTTAAAAAAACATTTTTACATTATTTATGAGGCTGCATTTCTCTCTCACTGCCCTTTACAGGTGTTTGTTGTATGTTTTACTGTTTTTGGAGGATTGATGGCATTTAACTACCATCGGGAGTTGCAAGCTTGGGTAGTTCCTCTGTTGCTGGTTGGATTTTTTGCCTACCTGATGTCCCACAGCTTTCTGTCTGTGTTTGAAGTGACAGTGGATGCCATGTTCCTTTGCTTTGCTATTGATATGGAAACAAATGATGGATCTGCAGAGAAGCCATACTTCATGGATCAGGAACTGCTGGTAAACCACTGTGATAACGGCAAAGATGTTTGAGCCATTATAAGGTTTTGGGGACTTTTTCTTTCCCCAAGACCTAGTAATTTGAATACACAACCCATGCTATTTCCATTCCAACACCTTAGAACAGGATGGGCTCAGGGATACAAATCATATGTGAATTTATAAACTGAAGTAAATAGCTCTTCTGACTCCTGTGTGCTAGCTATGATCTGCTGCCTGTTAGATCATAATCTGTAAGTAATGGCTGAGTTTTTAGGCCTTATTAGATATATGTTCAATATATTGTTGGTAATTAAAAAATAGAAATAGATCAGCTAGCTGCAGAGACCAATCCATGGGGTGCCCCAAGATGAGATGTTTTTATTTGTTGTGACTTACTATACAGTGATGAGCAAAAGTAGCCAACAAGGAGCTTCTTGTTGCCAGCAGCAGATCAGGTATCCATCCACATCCTATGGATGCTGTAGTTCTGAACAAACTTCATGCAAACTTGAGTTGCTCTGCTTCATACCTATACAGAATCCTGTGCCAAACTACTGTCTTCTGTCTCTTGATTACAAAATTCTTCTGCCTCTGGACTGATTGTTCTGTGTCTTTACCCTGACAGTTATTGTATTGTATTACAAGCGTTTCCATGGAGAATTGTTACATAGCTAATAGTGTTGGAGAGCTTTATTTAATGGCTATATCTGAAGCATTTGAATGTATATATGCCATCCCTTTCATTTTAAGAGAATATCTGAAGATGCAGGTGTTTTTCCTTTCATGCTATTTTTGCAAGGTCTGTCTTTTCCTTCGTAAACCATGCGACAAAGAAATTCTTAGTGATTCATGAAAAACAAACTCAGCAGCCAGAATAGCTCATATGACACGAATCTTCTGGATTAATTTCTTCAGGACAGTGTCGGAAGAACTGTTTTGTGGTTTTGTGTTTTTTTTTTAATGCTGCTGTTAGATTCCCTGTAATGCTCACAGAATTTTGTTGAAAACAAAAAAAAAACCAACAAAAAGGCAGCCTAAAGATAGACTTAACCCTTTGTACAGAAGAAAGCAGATAGATGTTCTTTGGCTTTGATTCAGAACAGTACTTAACCACACGTCCTGAATAGGAATATGTTACTGAATGGAAAACTCTGAAGCTTTGACCTCTGTTCTCCTTCTGTTTTGCCAAATGCTAAAATACTTTTTAAGCCAATTCTCCTTCATGAAACAAACAGAGGCTTTCTTTCTCCAATTCCAAACTTTGTGGTAGTTTCTCTTTAACTCTGCTCCTAATTCCTTGTAATTAGCCATGCCCTAGGGCCTTGGGTGAAGAGAGGATTTCCCACAGGGGTAAGGAGTCTTCCAAGCCGGGCAGGCTATGTAACCTTGTATGGAAAAACTGGGGGCAGCACATCCAAACTCCTCCTCTTTGCACAATCAAGAGTAAGTTTGCTCATGTAGCCAAGGACTTGGAGTTTCCCAACACGTGGAGGCATTTGACTTGGGACATCTGCATTACAGATGGGTTACAAACATCTGGGGGTGGAAGGGAGGCTCTGTGGCCCTCAGGACAATATGCGGCAGTGGGCAGAGAGCTGGGTGAGGGATTTCAGACAGCCAGAGTCCTCATTCCTGTAGCAGGAGATGTAACAGAGATTCTTGATTCATCCTTCTCAGTTGCATTCATCACCCTTGCTGCCTCTGCAAGTAATTCATCACCTTCTGCTGCCTTCCGGTATCACTCAGTGTCATCCAGTTAGGAACCAGCTACAGTTTCTTAGCCCTGGGCTAATTATCTTCCTTTACCAGGTATTTTTATTTACACAATGGTTCGTATTCCCAAATGATCTCATCCTGGTTTTTGCTTGTAGACCTTTGTCAGTCAGAGCAACAAGTTAACAGAAGGGCAAAACCAGAGAAGCATGAGATCTTTCCAGGACAATGAAGATGGGACAGAGCTCCAACCTATGGTGAGACAGGAATGTGGGATATGTATTTATCTGTCAGCTAATGTGCATGCCTTTATATCCCAAGAAGAATGGATGTAGGCTGTCATGTATCTCCTGATGTCTCTCAGCAGCCAGCATGCTGTACCCAATATCCTGTTTTTCCTTCTATTGCTTTCCCTCCTCAGGAAACCCTCTGCTGGTGCAAAATGGATGGATCAAATATTTGTTCTCATCCTTCTTCCCGTTCCCAAGTATGCCCAGCAGAGGAGGAGAAAGATCGGACAATGGCAAGGGGGTGGGAGATAAATCCTATTCAGGTAGTCCTTCACGTGTCTGCAGTAGGAAAGTCAAAAGAGTGGTAGGCTGCTTGAGTTCATGCCGGAACTGCTGAAGTTCCAGACCTGTAAGATCAGAGCTTAGAGCCCTTCCCTCCCTCCGTGCCCCCCCTGTGTATATATTTATTTACTCTGTTTTATGATGGGGTCAAAAAGCTGAGGTTCCAGAAGGGAGTGTTCCCCCACACCCAGGCTTGGGAAAGTCCTGAGAGTAAATGCTCACTAACTGTCATCTGAAAAATATTGCAAATTGCCCAACCTGAGAAACTGTCCCAGCAAGTTCAGAATCTGGGCTGATTTTCCTCTGGCATCGGGGGGGCCAAGCCACGGCTGCTGGAGAAGATTCTGCAGCAACAGCTACTCTGGCACCTACGCTTGGACACTACTACTAGTGTCTTGTGCGCTCCTAGTGACTTATTATACCAGTATAACAGATGTTGGTGATTTTTCTTGATCTGCTTTCAAGAGATGCCAGGCTCTAGCAAACTCTCACGCAATCTCATGGGTGTTCTGCTGTAGGCAGAGCATTGCTTCTGTTTATTGCTACAGTGACGGATAGTTCTACTTGATTTTTTTCATTGTTTGGGTCTGTTATTGCATTCTTCAGTAATTTTTTGCCAAGCACAGAAACTGGGGTGAGTGGGGGAGGAGTTGATTTGAGACACAAAAGAACCTTAATTATTTTCCCAGTTAACTTTTACAGCATTTAAATGCAGTAACAGGACTAGTGCTACACATTATTTAACTCCTTTTTTCTCTCTTTGTAGACTTGAATGTGAAGTGCACCAGGAAGTATGAAGGCAGACCAGCAATAGAAAAAACAGTCATAGAAAAAAAGGTTACCAATACTCCAGGACGAAGTATTAGTTCTCCAAATCTGTTGTACCTTCTGCACTGGTAAAATGACACACAATCTCTTTGTATGAATAATGTATTTTGTGTGTCAGCACATCTGATTTTTATTAATATACTTGTTATGATGGTCTGAAAGTTGTTAATAAACAAGCTCCTTGTAAATATCTGTGTTGTCAGACTAAAAATACTAAGTTGACAAGGTCATCAAGCTGTCCCTTTGAGCTTTTTGATGTGTCAGCTAACAAGGCTTTTTTTCATGCTTCTCTGAGAACACTGGCTAGTCACCCCTGGATCAGTAAACATAGAAACATTTGTAGAGGGGGCACTCTGAGATGATTGTTTCCTGATTTATTCTGTATATCTGAACAGCCAGTGCAACTAATTAAGGAACAGTACTGAGCTCATTAATGGAAATTACCATTGATAGAAATTCTCTGTCGTCAAGATAATGAATGGTTATGAGGTAGGTGTCTTTCTTTTAATTATACTCTTTTGGGAATGGTTTTTATAAGTCAGTATCATAAACTATCCACTGGCTCCTCTCCAAAGGGCAGATGAGGAATTAGCCCTTTTTTTGTAAATAAAAATAAGCAACTACCTTCCCTTTGCCATTGAAAAGACAAAGGATGCAGAAAAATTTGTATCTGGATTTAAAGCTTGACAAGTAGCAGATGAGCAGTGGCTGGACAGAAATGAGATACGAGGATGTTATAAATACTACTTTATAGAAATGTTAGCTGTAACATAGAATCATAGAATGGTTTGGGTTGGAAGGGACCTTAGAGATCATCCAGTTCCAACCCCCTGCAACGGACAGGGACACCCTCCACTAGACCAGGTTGCCCAAAGCCCCATGCAGCCTGGCCTTGAACACTTCCACTTAAACATAGATGTGAAATACAAACTTTGTACCTGGACCCTGGTTATAACACACTTCCGTGGGCTCCACCTCATAGTGAGTATCGAGCAGTTTTAGATTTTACTCAATGGCACGTGATTTTATTATTTTTATTTCAAAAGCTCCTTTAACATTTTGTTTGAGGAGAGCTTTGAGGGGGGAAGATGACTCCTCCAACCAGGGATTTCAGTAAAGTATGCATCAGCATAGGAAGTGAGACATTACTGCAGGTAAGTGACTCATAAGCTGCCATAATGAATAGATTGATAAACCTTGATTAGTCACAGCTTGGAGGTGACATACAGAAAAACTCATTGATGGCCTGAATGACAAATCTGTTTCAGCAAACTACTGTATCTGATCTCCTGCTGTTGAAAGGAGTCTAGCTATCTGCTAGGGAATGCTAAGAAATGTTTGCTTTTTATTCTTCATTTAATTAACTTTTGTCTACTTTAATATGAGCCACTTCAAGCAGCTGAGGAATATGGGATAGGTGAAAATGGGGAAGAAATAGATTAATTACTCTCTGCCTGGCAGGTGAAGCTGATTGTGTACTGGTTGTGACTCACCACATCTCATTATTTAGAACGGTACACTCAGGTACTTCTGGTGCTTGGCTTGCGGGTGCTGTGGGAACTGAAAATCACGCTGAATGAGCAATAGCTCCCTAACCGTGAGAAAGTGTGCAGATCTGGTACTTACAGAGGGGCAAAACTTTTTTTCTCTGCCACAGGTCTCAGTAAGATTGCTTCCAAGTAGTAGTGCCTCCACAATGTAAAAATTGTATTTAGCAATTTACAAAATATTGCAGGTTTGCTTGGAAGTTAAAAAAATCAGTTATTACATGTTGGGGTTTTTTTTCCTGTTTGTATTTGATACTTGCACTGCATGTTTTGGCCCTTGACTCGGGAACTCTCTGGTGGAAGGAGAGGGAAATTTTTATGTAAGTATGTCCTGGTTTTCAGACAAGCCCTAGATGACCTCCAGTGGTCCCTTCCAATCTCAAGAATTCTGTGATTCCGTTCATTGCAATTATGATGCAGTGTCATTGCCTTCACTGCAGTTCCTGGGTGGGGAAAGGACTTTTAGACACTTACTACAAAGTTTGGTTTGCTTTTTAAAGAAGGAAGGTACTGAAAAATCCCAATTAAGCCGTATTTGAGTGTGTTTCATTTAAACAATGCTGTACTGCCCACAGTCCAGAAATTACAACTGTGACAGTATGTTTTGAGAGTCACGTATAGTTTTTACAAAAGAGTTCCTTTCAATTAAATCTTGTACACAAAGCATAGCTTTATAGCTTTCAGGTGCCACACAGGACCTACTAATCTTCTATACATTCCCCTAGCAATTGTGTCAACAGCCTCCAACTGTAGCATGCCTGCGTGGCAGGAGTCCTCACCTGAGTTAGAGGGATAAAGCACCCCACAGAAGCTGATGCTATTTAGTGCTCGTTTCTCATTGCTGTCTTCCCCTGCAGGATAGTGTAGCCAGGCAACTATAAAGCAGGCTGGAAGTAGGTGCTGGGGTTGGATGTAGGCACAGCTCTTGTACTAACTATGTACTCACTAGTTCAGGTACCGATGCTTGTCCAAGCTGCTTCTGGTGTTTCAACCTCTGCCCTGCAAAGCAGCCCAATGCTGTGTGAACTCTTCTTTCCTGCAGCTATGGAAGACTGGATTCAGAGGAATGAAAGGTACTTTTATAACTGTATTCCTTAGAAATAGGAGGTGGGGACTACTGGTGTCTGCATACCAGGAAATGGCTAAGTATTTAGAGCTTATTGTTTTAAGCAAGGCAGTTTGCATTTGGTCTTGCTTGGTGTCTACTTCAAACTCTGTCTTAATTCAGTTACGATTCCACTGGCTACCTCTGTGGATGAAAGAAAACAGGCATGCTAAGAACAGTTTATGTGTTGTTTTGTTTCCTCCTTCAAGTACATACATAATAAATATGTGCAAACAGTTTAAAGCCTAAGTTTCGGATTCAGAAGGAGCAGGAGGGCATGGTTCAGGCTTTCAAAGAGACCCTGCTTTCACCCAAACTATGAAAGCAACAAAGCTTTTGTTGTTGATCACAGCACTGCTTTTCAGCATTCAATACAATAGTTCTAAATTGTTAAATACTATTATTGTGAAGAAGGGGAAGTGGTATAGTTTAGGACGAGCAGGTCTTAACAGACATCTTGGTATTAATTCTCTTGCCTCAGATGCAAGGCTTGGACTGGTGACCTCCAGCAGTCCTTTCAAATTTAAATTCTGTGAAATAAATAAGCTTAAGACTTATTCAACAAATAGGTCAGTTGAAAGACAGGTCCCCACACCCAAAAATAATAGAAACTAATGGAGCAAAGCACAATTTCTAGTCTTGAGGGATAAAACATTTTATATGTTAATATAAATAAGTTTAATCTGCACTAAATACTTTTAAAGTATCTTTATTTTTTTTAATTTTACAAAAGTAAACAACAGTGGCCCCATTGGTAGCATGCTCTTTTTTTTCTGTTAAAAACAGCCCAGGTAAATTAGTACAGCCTGTCTGCACTCCGTGGTGAGGAAGAAAGCATTTTCCACTTAGGAATAAAGCTCTGCTATCAGTAACTAAAGAACTCAGATTGCAGACCAGCAGACGCAAAGACTCTAAAGGGTGTTTTGAATTCTGACAGTGATGGTATGAAGGCAGTGGGCTGAAGCAGAAGCAGTGCTAAGTGTGTGGTTCCTCATTTGCCATGAGAAAAAGGCAGGGATGTAGTGAACAGCTAAGGATCTCTAGCCATAACCTCACAGTCATGTAGAGGGAAGTGAACTCTGATGTAAAGGAGCTACATTCCTTTCCTGTTAAGTCACTGTCACTTGCTCCCAGGAGATTTTTTTTTTTTTACAAAGTTGTTAGATTAAATCCCATGGAAAAGAAAACCCAAACTGCAACAGATAGCAGTTCTACATTACCCTTAACACAGGCAAAGGTGATGCTGATTTGGGAATAATTTTTGGGGCACCTAATCGTTAAGAATGGTAGCATAACAAATGAGACAGGATCTTCTACATACCTTTAAGAAAAAATATTTATTTATAAAAATACACTGGGATCAGTTTGAGAAGTGTGGCAATAAATACAGTTCAAGGAAGAAAAAGCATTTCTACATGGATATATTATGGCACAATAAAAGGTAAATGCACCATCAATCATGGGACTTCTGTTGGCTCAAGACTTTGTACAAGCTCCCTTTTTAGTAAGACAACTATTTCTAAGTTTGGTCAGTGTTGATAATGGA